CAGCGCCCTCTCCCGGGGGGTTAGGTGGGACATTGTCTTTGGATTCTCCAGCGCCCTCTCCGGGGGGTTAGGTGGGACGTTGTCTTTGGATTCTCGAGCGCCCTCTTCCCGGGGGGTTAGGTGGGACGTTGTCTTTGGATTCTCGAGCGCCCTCTTCCCGGGGGGTTAGGTGGGACGTTGTCTTTGGATTCTTGAGCGCCCTCTCCCGGGGGGTTAGGTGGGACGTTCCAAAGTCCTCTTTCTTCATGACTGAAAGGAGTAGGGGAGGCCAGGGTCTTTCCGTATAAACGCAGCCCTGTAGCTATAGAAGATGTGAAGCCAGGGACAAAACAGTTCCTTTCAGCCAGTGTAACCATGGATTCTTACCACTGCAAAAGCTGCAGCTGGGAATATGATCAAATAGGTGGGTTAAACTGGGAGAAAAATGAGATAACAGTTACGTAAATACAAAGCCTCGGTTTATAATACATTTTTTTTTTAACAGGCACGAGGTTTATGGAACTTGTTCCTTTGTAATCTAAATGTCTATTGGATCTGTTTAAAAGAAGTCCATCACTTACAAGCAGGCAGCACTTCAGAAATTTGTACATTGTTCTTTTGATGGAAAAAGATATTTTTAATTCCAATGTTTCTACTGATGATTTGCTCCTAAACTGATCCAGAAGTCTACTGAGCCCCAAATGGGGCGAATCTAGACTTATAATCCTGTTAGTTTGAGATTAGGTTCTAGAAAGAGGGCATTATGTCATATGTAAAAAAAGAGATTAGAGGGGTTTTTTTTTTTTTTGGCTGATACTTTAAAAAAAGATTTTTTTTTATTGTACTTTAGATGAAGGGTTACAGAACAAATAGTTTCTCATTAAACAGCTAGTGCACATGCTGTTGTATGACATTGGTTACCAACCCCACGACATGTCAACACTCCCTTCTCGAACCTGGGTTCCCTATTATCAGCTTTCCTGTCCCCTCCTGCCTTCTAGTCCTTACCCCTGGGCTGGTGTGCCCCTTTAGTCTCATTTTGTTTTATGGGGCTGTCTAATCTTTGGCTGAAGGGTGAACCGCAGGAGTGACTTCATTACTGAGCTAAAACAGTGTCCGGGGGCCATACTCTTGGGGTTTCTCCAGTCTCTGTCAGGCCAGTAAGTCTGGTCTTTTTTTGTGAGTTAGAATTTTGTGCTACATTTTTCTCCAGCTCTGTCCGGGACCCTCTGTTGTGATCCCTGTGAGAGCAGTCAGTGGTGGTAGCCAGGCACCATCTAGTTGTACTGGACTCAGTCTGGTGGAAGCTGTGGTAGTTGCGATCCATTAGTCCTTTGGACTAATCTTTCCCTTGTATCTTGTTTTCTTCATTCTCCCATAAAGAGGGTTTTTTTGTTGGTATGTTTGTTTTCTCTTTTGGGGGGGAGGGGCATAGCTAGCCTTGTGGAAAATATTTGTTGGTTAAAGTGGACAAGGAATGCTTCAGTGACACTGGGATTTGAGAGAGGACACTGTAGGAAAAAGGCAAAAGCCTGAACAAAGGAGAGTGGAGACAGGAGGCATAAAGCATTTGTGAGAGGATGTGCAGAGCGTTATAGCCAGGGCTGAGGACCAGGCTTCTAGACTTACAGGGAAGGTGGCTCGAATCGGGTGAGAACAGACCTCAGGTGCCACAACAAGGTGCTGAGCTGAGCAAGGAGTTACTCGGCTATTGGAAAACCACGCTTAAAGACCCACGTCTTTGGGGTAATTGCAGGAGATTGCAATGTACGGGCTCTACTGGGATGAAACCAGAGGCAAGGCAGCTGTTTTCAGAGACCATTGTAGTGATTTAGCCATGAGGAATTCCTCCCTCTCCTCACTTATCGACATGGGTAGGTTCTAAAGACCAGGTCATTATGCAAAAATAGGCATTGTGCGCAAATGGAGGATGACCACATCAAATCACAAAATGGAAGATGACTATATAACTGCCAAATTACATCATTACATAACTGCCAAATTATACTATTACATAACTGCCAAATCACTGAGAATCATCGCCCAGCCAAGCTCACACATAACCTTAACCATCACATCCAGCATTACTCTCACCTCGCACCTCTGCATTCATTACTGCCAGACGTACATCGTTAATGCACAAAATAGTTGAACAGTAGAGTTTTTACTATTGTTGTAAATGTGAAATGTCGGATAACGAGACAGTTGATAAACAGGGAATAGGTGTAATAGTGTTCAGCCTGAGAAAATGAAAGAAGTAGACAACAAAAGAACAACTCATTCTCTTTCCCTCCCTCCCCCAGAGCCTAGGCCTCCCTTACAATTCCTGACTTTTGTCGATGCCACTGCTTTTATCCTGGTCTTCTAGGCTGGAATACTGTTGTTGGCTGGAGATTCTTCTCTCCCCTCCCCTCAATTTAAAATCCAATCGCTGGAGTCTTACCAGGAGTCAGTCCTTCCATTACTCTCTCAATTTCCCTCTTTCAGACCCTCACTGGTCCAGCTGAGGAAGAGGCAGTAGCTCCGCTATGTCTTGGGTCTGTCTCTGTCCAGTCTTTCCTTCCTGTCCCCCAAGATTAACCTTTCCGAGCAGCTCTGATCACGTTCCACTCCTATCTTAAAGTCAAAATCTTCATTAGTACCCTGTTTCTGCCTTTAGAATAAAAGCTAAACTCTTTGGCCAGGGGATCAGAGGTCTCTACGCCAGGCTTTCTCAACCTTGGCACTTATTGACATTTCGGGCAGGATAATTCTTTGTTGTGGGGGCTGCCCTGTGCATTGTAGAATGTTTACCAGCAATAGCACCATCCCCCCTCACTGTAACAACCAAAATGTCCCCAAACATTGTCAAATGTGCCCAGGCAGGATAATTCTTCCTGGTTAAGAACCAGTGGTCTGGAGACTAGTCCAGCTAACCTTTGCAAGTGACCATCATCATCACTTCCTTTCAGCCATACTTTCAGACTAACTGACCAAGCCTGCAGTCCCCGTCCAAGCTCTGATTTCTTCGTTGTATGTCTCTGTTCTACTTAAAATGCCCCCTTTCCTCACTTTCATTTTTGTGGCTATTGTATACCTACACCTGTAACCTGGCCATCATTTAATCATTTAAGACCCAACTGAAACGCCACCATTTCCTCCTAAATTCCTCCTCAATTCCTTCTCTCCGTACCCCTTGACTCCAAGTGGAAGATAACCCCTCTTTCCACTGAAGTCACATAGTAGATTATCACTGGTTTTCCCATTGCCTGCACATCAAACATCACTTTCTACTCTGTGTTGGCGGTATACACATCACATCTCTGCTACTGGTTAGCTGGTACCCTGTCTGATTCATACTTATAACCTCAAAAACACTTAACGAAGTTCTTTCTGCACGGTAAGGGCACACTACGTACTCGCCAAATGAAAGTATAAGTGAATATGTGGCTGTTATAATCTGGGAAGTATGAGTAGGAGAGAAGTATTGGGAAAACTTTCTGCTCTCAGTGGGTTGGAAAAGCTTGCTTCCCTTTGTCATAGAAATATCCCTGCCCAGAGTAGAAGGGACAGCTTAAAAGCAAAGTGTGGTAACTGTGGAGTCTTTGGTGCTGTAGGCTGTTGAACCCGAGGGAACTCAAGAATGGGAAGAGCAAAGCTTGTAAATTGCAGCAGAAAGAAAGAAAGATCTGGTTATTGAGTTCTTCAGTGTATATTGTGTATTTCTGTCCCCAAACAAAGCTAAAGCAAGACAGGTGTGTTGTGATGCAGGTGAAGCTGTGTGAGGTGTGGTGTTTCAGTTTTGGTTTTATTCCTTGGAGCCTCACCCCATTCCTATAGGTTTATCTGTGCTTCTCTCTCCCAGTCTCTCACCTCCAGTGTCCCCATGAGTCTTCCTCCTCCTCTTTCCTCTCCCTCCCAACCCTAGCTCATGAGAAGCTGTCAGTTTACTTCCTTAGCTGTCTCACTGGAAAGCAGTCTCCAAGTGTTACAGACTACCAGTCCTTTATTGTATTGGGGGAGCCCTGGTGGCACAGTGGTTAAGAGCTACAGCTGCTAACCAAAAGGTTGGCAGTTCAAATCCACTAGCTGCTCCTTAGAAACCCTATGGGGCAGTTCTACTCTGTCCTATAGGGTTGCTATGAGTTTTGGAATTGAATTGATGGCAATGAGTTATTGTGTTGGGGGTCTCAAGACTACACCGAAGTTCAGCGATCTGCTGGGAGGACTCACAGGACTCAGCATGCAGTCATGCCCATGGCTGTGATTTATTACAACAGCAACAAAAATACAAGCAAAATCACAAAAAGGAAAAGTGCATGGGACGAAGTCTGGAGGAAACCAGGTGCCAGCTTCCAAGAGTCTTCTTTCATTGCCATCGAGTTGTTTCCAACTCATAGCGACCCTATAGGACAGAGCAAAATTGTCCCATAGGGTTTCCAAGGAGTGGCTGCTGGACTCAAACTGCTGACCTTTTGGTTAGCAGCTGAGCTCTTTCTTAACCACTATGCCACCAGGGCTCCTTGGAGTCACATAGGACACGCTTAATTCTCCAGCATTGAGGTGTTACAGCATATGTGAAGTGTTGTCTACCAGAGAAGCTCACCTGAGCCTAGGCGTCCAAGGTTTCTACTGGGAGTCAAGTCACATAGGACCCTCTGGCTAGCACATACCAAAGTTCCAGACTACCAGAAGCAAAACAGCTATTCAGCACAAGCCCTACTGTGTACACAAACAGTTTAGGCTCAGTAAGCCTCTCATCAGTTCTGGGAATGGTGGGAACCCTCCCCAAGTCCAGGTTCCCAGATGCTAGTCAAGGGCTAGCCCTGTAGGCAGGCCTTTCTAAAGAGAGCAGTCTTAGTCCTGCTGTGTTAATTTTTTTCTGCATATTTATGATGGATGCTTATAATTTTAACAGAGGCAGGCATTCATTTAGACTGTGGCTACTGTGGCCCCCTCAGATACTAGGCTCCATAACCTGGTATCCTTTGACTAGGAGGTAGCTCGGTAAGACCATGAGCAGCCTCTTTGCGATTTCTTCCACGTTCTGTACAAATATAACTTTCTGTGAGCGCCATGATGTGAAGGATTGGTAAGCACCACTCCCTGATGCCTCGCTTAGTAAGGAAAGTTTGGTTTGCCTCAGCCAACACAGGTTTTCTTGGCTAGTTGAGAAGTAACTCCAATGCCAGGGTTAAGATGATCTTCAGTGTTGCACTGAAGAGCTCACTGTCAATTTCCGTTTATTTTGCTCAGAAAACTCTTCCAGTCTTCCCCAAAGGAAATGAAATCCAACTTAAGGTAATGAATATAGGAAGTGATGGCGTGAATATATCATTTTCTGGAGTGATGGAGCCACTTGGCCCAGGGTCTCAAGTAAGTAGAATGAAATGCAACTTTCTTTCTTGTCTTCCGACCTGATTTATGGAGCCCTGGTGGCATAGTGGTTAAGGGCTTGCCTGACCAAAAGGTCAGCAGTTCAAATCCACCAGCTGCTCCTTGGAAAGCTGATGGGGCAGTTCTGCTCTGTCCTATAGGGTCGCTGTGAGTCGGAAACAACTCGACGGCAATGGGTTTGGTTTTTTTGTTTGTTTGTTTGACCTGATTTATAACAAGATTTGGAAAAGTTGTTCTTCCTGGTCCTTGTATTAATCTCAAGCTCAGCCCACACATGAAATGTCTTAGTATCTTGATCTTATTTTGTCTTCAATCTAGACCAGTGTGCCTCAAACTTTAATGTGTATCATAATCGCCTGGGGAGCTTGTTAAAATGCAGGTTCTTAATTAGCTGTTCTGAAATTCTGCATCTTTAACAAGTTCTCAGGTGAAGATGTTGCTCCCAGATATGGAACCACACTTTAAATAGTGAGGATCTAGGTCAGTGGTTCTCAATGGTGGTGGGGGTGGGGGGAGAGGGGGGTTTTCCCCCCAGGGAACATTTGGCAACCTCTCGAGACATTATGGTTGTCCTGATGGGATTGTTCTATTGATATCTGGAGTGCTGCTGAAGATCCTACAGGGCACTTGACAGCCCCTCCTCCCCCCACCCCAAAGAATTCTCTGGTCCAAAACATCAACGTTAGGTTGGAAAACCCTAATCTAAATGACCACTGGTCGAGATCACTGATGCATACTGGAGAGTTTTCGAGGCTGGGACCCAGGCATCAGAATTTCTAAGAGTTTGATTTAACTAGTCTCATTTCTGTTTAGCCCAGATTGAGAACCACTACCTCAGATCTTGCCAGATTAATAACCTTGAAGGAAAAAAAAACCAAACTTTGCCTCTTGGGGTGGGGGCAGCCCAGTATTGTTTTTCACCAGGCTGTTCCTTTTCTTTTGATGCTGTTCTCTGCCTAATGATAGAAACAATGTCCACAGCATTTATCTTTATAAAACAAAGTAAGATGCATGACAGAAAGCCTGATTTCTGTGGCAATCCTAAAACACTTCATGACAGAGTCCGTAATGGTGGGTAGGGAGCTTAGACAAACAAATGCAGAACCCCAAAACATTTCTTGATGTGTTTGAGCCTGAGTTTGGGTGTTACATAATGCGCCTTATAGTTCAACTCCACAGTGTAGGACAATACTCCAGAGAGGCTTAGTGCTATTAACTGTGACTCCTTTTCCCCCATCTGTAGACAGATGGATTTATGACTTTTGATGTAGACAAACTGCCAAATATAAGCATTTCTTCTAATGGGCTACAAGACACTCCAGTAACTAATACCTTTGAGCCGGGCCAGCGCCACACCCTTCTCATCTGGGCCGCCAACCAGTACCGAGTGGTAAGTGTTCGGGCACCTGCAATGGGCTCTTTACTCTCTGTGACACTGTCAACACAGCGGTGGTGTGACTGTTTTACTCCCATGTAGTAGTATTTTAGATAATCGTCAGTTTCTTCTTCAAGAATATGAGTCATTTAACTTCCCAATAAAAGTCTGACTGATGGATGGGAAGGGATAATATTAATTATAATTTCTACTGAGTGACTGGAAAATCAGAGCAGTCTCTGAAAAACATACAGTGAGTATATCAGGTGAAAGCAATAAAAATACATATAAAATAAGATTTCATGACAAAATATTGAAGTCTCTCTCTCTCTCTATGTATATATATGCCATATAATGAGACTTTCAGCATATAAAGAAACTATAAAAGTATAGTTAACTCAATGAAGGAGCTGCAAGTATTCTGTTAGGATGAATTTAAGTGAGTCTCTACAGAAGCCCAATAAGGAATGAAGACTTCCTTGGTCATGTGTTTAATTGGGGAGCTGTTCAGTGGCATAAAAATTTTATGTTAACCTCAAAGAAAACCACGATTAAAGAAATGGAACTCTTCAAGTATAATTATGCCCTTAGCTCCTATGATAAATGTCAACCTCACTTGTTTTCAAAGGCTGAAATGTTAATTTGAATTTACTCTAATTAATTAGATTTTCAAAATTTTTTATATTACTGTTTTCTCTTTCAGGTAAAGGATGGCCTTAACCAGAAGCCAGCAAAAGGAGAAAATGGAATCAGGTATATACATTTCTTTAAAACTTAAGTTAAAGCAGCATCTTATAGAAGTAATGCATACGCATAGTAAAGTCCAACTGTAAGAAGTATATAAAATGAAAGTATAGGGTTTATTCCAAGAATGTAACGCTGTTTCAGTAGTCAAAAAAATCAATATAATCCATCATCTTAATAAACTAAAGAGGAAAATCCACATCTCTATGTCAATTATAACAGAAAAGACATTTGATAAAATTCAGCATTCATCCATGATAAAAACTCTCAGTAAACTAGAAATAGAACTTCCTTATCTTCATAAAGGACATCTAAAAAAAAGCTCAACCTAACCTTCTGCTTAATGGTGAAAGTTTGAATGCTTTCCCCCTAAAATTAGAAACAGGATAAGGTTGTCCACTCTCCCCACTTCTATTCAGCATCCTTCTGGAAAATCTAGCCACTGCAATAAGACAAGAAAAAGTAGTAAAAAGCATCCAAATTAGAAAGAAAGAAAGAAAATTATCCCCACTCACAGATGACACGATTGTCTATAAACAAAGTCCCAAGGATATTGGGGGGGGGGGGAAGCTCATAGAATCAATATGAGTTTAGAAAGGATACAAGGCTAACAAGAAAAATCCATCATATTTCTATATTGGCAATGGACACCTGGAAACTAGTATTTAAAAACCATACCATTTAAAATAGCTCCAAAAAAGATGAGATGCTTAGGTGTAAGTCTAACAAAACATGTGCAGGATGTGAGTGCTGTAAATTAGCAAATGCAAACAAAAGAAATCAAAGAAGAGCTAAATAAATAGACAGACATGCTGGGTACATTGATTAGACGATAACACATGGGAGGGCGTATAGAAGTACATCCACGTACATGTGGACATGCTGCAAATATACACAGTATACAATAGTGCACACAGGGAACACAGTCATGAGACTTCTTAGCCATAACCATACACCTCCTGGGACTGAGATAGTGGGCTTGAGGGCCAGGGACTATAATCTCGAGGGACTTCTAGGTCAGCTGGCATACCATACTCCACACAGTGTTCTACATCCTAACTTGGTGAGCAGTGACCAGGGTCTTAAAAGCTTTCAAGGGGCCATCTAAGATACAACAATTGGTCTCTTCCCATTTGGAGCAAAGAAGAGTGAAGAAAACCAAAGACTCAAGGAAAATATTAGTCCAAAGGACTAATGAACCACATGAACTACTGCCTCCACTAGCCTGAGACCAGAAGAACTAGGTAGTGCCCAGCTACCACTACTGACAGCTTTGACCAGGATCACAATAGTAGGTCATGGACACAGTGGGAGAGAAATGTAGAACAAAATCCAAACTCATAAATTATAAGACCAGACTTACTGGTCTGATAGAGACTGGTAGAACCTCCAAGACTATGGCCCTTAGACACCCTTCAAACTTGGAACTGAAATCACTCCGGAGATCACATTATAGCCATACAAGAGACAGGCCTATAAAATGAACAGTAACACCAGTAAGGAATGTACACCTCAGAACAATCAACTATAAGAGACCTAAAGGGCAGTATCTGCCCAAAAGCAAAGCTTAGAAGGAAGGTAGGGGCAGGAAAGCCGGGCATATGGACATGGGGAACCCAGGGAGGAAGGTGGGGAGAGTGCTGACCCATTCAAGGGATTGCAATTAATGTCACAAAACAAGCTGTGTATAAATTGTTGAATGAAAAACTAATTTGCTCTGTAAATTTTCACCTAAACCACAACAAAATGTTAAAAAAAGAAAAAAGTTAATATAATAAAGATGCTAATTCTCTCCAAATTGGTCCATATATTTAATGCAATTCCTACCAAAATCCTAGCAATGTTCTTATATAGACAAGCTAATTTTAAAATTTATATGGAAAGGTAAAATAAGTAGAATAGCCAAAATAATTTTGAAAAAAAGGATAAAGTTGGAAGACTCATACTATTGCCAATTTTAAGACTTATTCTAAAGCTACAGTAATCAAGACAAAGCAGTAGTGGCAAAGGGATAGACCCATAGATCAATGGAACAGAACAGACAGTCCAACGATAGGCCCACACAAGTACGGCCGACTGATTTTTGACAAAGGTGCAAAGGCAATGCAATGGACTAAGGATAGTCTTTTCAACAAATGGTGTTGAATTATTTGGATATTCGCATGTAAAAAATAAACCTTTTATTATGCTCTCTCAAGATCTATCTATATGGGATCAAATTGACAACAGTAACTTGAAAGATAGGAACCTTGGGGGCAGTGAGTTTATATTTATACCAAGATCCCAATTTCCTAATTATACTATGATCCAAGGACTCCACTTTCCTCTCTGAAAACCAACTTTTCAGCATGCTCTTTGATCTAACTGGACCAATTACTCTATAGTCCCGCTATATCCAGAAGGAAAAAAAAGAACTCAAAGAAACCCAAACCCATTTGTAGAGTCAATTGTGACTCATGATGACCCCATGTTATAGAGCAGAACTGCTCCATAGGGTTTTATAGGCTTTTCTTCATGGTGATCTTTTTGGAAGCAGATCACTAGGTCTTTCTAATGCAGAGCTGCTGGGTGGGTTCGAACCACCAACCTTTCAGTTAGTAGACAAGCTCAAACCATTTTCACCACCCAGGGACCACTTTGCTCATAGACATTCTCATTGTACCGTCAGGTTAGTGCCTTTCTTTCTTGGGTTCCACATCAACTTTCTAAGACACTTTTCTTGTTTGCTGGAGCATATGCTCCAATATCTTACCAAGAAAAGCTGTGAGGTAATTCCAAGTCCTTGCAGGCCTGGAAATGCCTTTTTCTGTTCTCACACACCATTTTCCTCCAGAACTTTGGAGGCTCGTCTCTTTTGGCTTTTAGCACTCAAGCAACCCAATCCAATGCCATCGAGGCTATTGGGACTCATAGAGACCCTATAGGACAGAGTAGAACTGGCCCATAGGGTTTCCAAGGAGCGCCTGGAGGATTCAAACCGCCAACCCTTTGGTCAGCAGCCATAGCTCTTAACTACTTTGCCACCAGAGTTTCCTTTTTAGCACTCAGTTATGCTGAAAAGAGGGGGAAAAATTATCTGTCAGTCTTTGTAGCTGATTTTATTTTCTTCTCACAAGCTTTTGGTATCTTCTTTTTCCTTGGTGCCCACAAATTTCTTTGAAGTGTAACTAAATGTGGATGTGATTTTATTCATCTTGCCATTACTAATTCCTTTCAAATTTTGTTTTCCTCTCCTCATCGTCTTTGTTCCCTTTTGCTGGGTCTTCTGGATTGTTCCTCTGTCCCACACACACGCACATACACACAACACTCCTAGTAGATCTGGAAGGAAAATCCCTGCTGATGGTTGCCTGGCACTTCCCTGCACTTTGCATTTGATGTAAGCTGGAAGCTCCTAATGTGGTTTTCACTGCTTTGATTTCTTCAGAAATGTTTCCTAACTTTGGCAACTTTGGGAAATTTAGCTCATGGTATTTATCCTTTCTGTTCTGGTGCTGCTAAAGTTTCATTTTTCTTGAAACGTCTTTGATGAGATCTTGGGAAGGAAGGAAGACACATGTGACCACAACCCTTTCCCTGACTTCCCACCCATGTGGTCACAGATGAATGGGAAACTTTCCCTGTAATTGGCAACGTCACATCCTAAATCGATCGAAGGTTTTATTATTTGTGTAATGCCCTGGAGAGAACACATAAAAAAGGGAAGTTCTAGAAAACTAGTATCACATAATAATTGATGAACAGAAGATTCTGGAAGTCAGACTATGTATGAATATGGTGTCCTTTATAAATTATATATATAAACTACTGTACCAAATTAATATGTACATCATAAAACAGCTATAAAAAATACAAAAAGTATGAGAAAAGTAAAAAATCATGTTACAAATATTTTTACTCACTACCAGTTGCTGTTGAGTCAATTCTGATTCCTGGTGACCCCGCTTGTGTCAGAGTAGAATCAGGCTCCATAGAGTTTTTGATGGTTGATTTTTCAGAAGTAGATTGCCAGGCCTTTCTTCCAAGGGACCTCTGGATGGACTCGAACCTCCAACCTTTGGGTTAGCAGCCAAGCACTTAACTGTTTGCTCCACCCAGGAACTCCATTTTACTCATTAGTGGTACAAAAATTTTATGTGAAAGTAAGGTGATTGAGTATCCTTCATTATTGTCTAAAAATCTCAGTTTAAGATTTGAAAACAGCTAAGTAGAGACTAATTTTAAATTCGGTTTATTTCAAACCTTAGTGTTCATGACTGTCATGACTGAAGAAGATAGCTGCTTCAGAGAGAGTGTGTGGGTGAAGCATAAGTAGATAAAAAAAAAAAAAACTTTAAAAAACAGATGGTTTCAATAAATGGTGCTGGGACGACTGGAAATCCACAGGCAAAAGGCTGAAACTGGACCCCCACCTCACACCATACACAAAGATTAACTCAACGCATCATAAACCTCAATGTAACAAAAACAATTATAAAACTCTCAGGAGAAAAACAGGACCAAATCTTTGTGACCTTGAGTCAGGCAATGGTTTCTTAGATCTGAAACCAAAAGCACAAGCAACAAAAGAAAGTATAATAACTTGGACTTACATGTACGTGAATTATATCTCAATAAAGCTGTTAAACAACTAGGAAGGCATGGATCCCTCTACTCGCTTAGTTAGACTTTAAGGAGCTGGCTCCATCTTGTCATTCTCTTAGCTGGTTCCCACTCTCCATCCTTCACTCCTATGATCATGTTACAGCTTTTGACACTGATGCCCCTTCTGAGGTTTAAACTAAGGTGAGGCCTTACTGGGACCCTAGTACTGTGCCTGATCAAAACTCTGACCGTGCAACAGATGTTATATGTCTGCTCTCGCCCTTCAAAACACTCAGGGTGTGTTTGCTGCTTATATGCTACTATTTCCTATGCTGGTATATGAAAACACATCTTTGATGCGTCTTCTATTAAATTTCTTTCATTCTTATCAGTATCTCACACCGGCCCTGAAACATGTTGTACAGATAGTAGTACTCTAGTCTCACAGGTGGGATTTAGCCAGAGTCTTATGGCTTATAAATTGTAAAGCCAGGCCCCAGGCCCAAGAGTCTACTTTCTAATCCCACATTCTCCCTGCTGTCTCTCTTTTGAATGGTTGATCTTAATCTTTGATAAAGGTAGCACTGACAATTTGAAGCAGTATTAATTCTATCTACTTAGGGATCAAAGACCACAGCCTTCAGTATGGATTACACCTCAAAATAAGGAAAACAAAAATCCTCACTACTGGACCAATAAGCAACATCATGATAAATGAAGAAAATATTGAAGTTGTCAAGGATTTGATTTTACTTGGATCCACAATCAACACCCATGGAAGCAGAAGTCAGGAAATCAAAAGACGCATTGCATTGGGCAAATCTGCTGCAAAAGACCTCTTTCAAGTGTTGAAAAGCAAAGACGTCACCTTGAAGACTAAGGTGTGCCTGACCCGAGCTATGGTGTTTTCAATCGCCTCATATGCATGTGAAAGCTAGACTATTAATAAGGAAGACGGAAGAATTGCTGCCTTTGAATTGTGGTGTTGGCTAAGAGTATTGAATACCATGGACTGCCAAAAGAAGGAGCAAATCTGTCTTGGAAGAAGTACATCCAGAATGCTCCTCAGAAGGAAGAATGGCGAGACTACATCCTACATACTTTGGACATGTTGTCAGGAGGGGTCAATCCCTGGAGAAGGACATCGTGCTTGGTAAGTAGAGGGTCAGTGAAAAAAAGGAAGACCCTCAACAAGATGGACTGACACGGTGGCTGCAACAATGGGCTCAAGCATAACAATGATTGTGAGGATGGTGCGGGACCGGGCAGGGTTTTGTCCTGTGGTGCAGAGGGTCGCTATGAGTTGGAACCGACCTGACGGCCCCTGACGACAACAACAGGGTCTTATTGACTCACTGTCAGGTTTGCTCTTCCATATTAATCACCTGCCAAACTACACCAAGTAGAATACCTTGGGACTTCATGACCTGAGTTGAATTCTTGGAAATTTTCTCCAAATACCTAGCAGTTAACCAATATTATTTTTGCCACAAAGCTGGTGAAACTTTGCCACATTTCTCAGGGATGTAAAGGTTCAATTGTACCTGACAGCACTTCTTGTTGTTGTGTGCCATCGAGTCGCTTCTGACTCACAGTGACCCTATATGACAGAGTAGAACTGCCTCATAGGGTTTCCTAGGCTGTAATCTTTATGGGGCATAAAGATTGGAGGAAGACTCATTAACAACCTGCATTATACAGATAACACAACCTTGTTTGCTGAAAGTGAAGAGGATTTGAAGTCTTGCTGATGAAGATCAAAGACCACAGCCTTCGGTATGGGTTACACCTCAACATAAAGAAAACAAAAATCCTCGCTACTGGACCAATAAGCAACGTCATGATAAATGAAGAAAAGATTGAAGTTGTCAAGGATTTCATTTTACTTGGATCCACAATCAACACCCATGGAAGCAGAAGTCAGGAAATCAAAAGATGCATTGCATTGGGCAAATTTGCTGCAAAAGACCTCTGTCAAGTGTTGAAAAGCAAAGATGTCCATTGAAGACCAAGGTGCACCTGACCCAAGCCAGGGTGTTTTCAATCGCCTCATTTGCATGCAAAAGCTAGACGATGAATAAGGAAGACCAAAGAAGAATTGTTACCTTTGAATTGTGATGTTGGCTAAGAATACTGAATAATACCATGGACTGCCAAAAGAAGGAGCAAATCTGTCTTGGAAGAAATACAACAAGAATGGTTCTTAGAAGCAAGGATGGTGAGACTACGTCTCACATACTTTGGACATGTTATCAGGAGGGATCAGTCCCTGGAGAAGGAAATCATGCTTGGTAAAGTAGAAGGTCATCGAAAAAAAGGAAGACCCTCAACAAGATGGATTGATTGACACAGTGGCTGCAACAATGGGCTAAAACATAACAACAATTGTGAGGATGGCGCAGGACTAGACACTGTTGTGCGTGGGGTCACTATGAGTCGGAACTGACTTGACCGCATCTAACAACAACAGTCTTTATGGGAGCAGACTGCCAGGGCTTTTCTCCCATGGAGCCACTGGTAGGTTTGAACCGCTGACCTTTCGGTTAGCAGCTGATAGCTTGACCATTATGACACCAGGTCACCTTGACGGTATTTAGGCATACAATATTATTACTTCTCATTCTCTAAGCTGGATAATCTGCTGTTAAGTCCTCATTCACCTGTTTGATGGGAAGTTATCAACTGGTCTTCTTTTAAGCAGCACCCTCCACCTCCCTAGGGTGGTACAGGAGTCTTGATGCCTTTACAGCCTGAAACATTGAAAGAAAGAATCTCTAACCATCTGTCCACAATACTCACCACCTGTATGGTCCTTTGAAGGCAAGCAGCCCGACCAGTTTCATGCGAAGCCTAGGCACAGGGAACTCTGCAGAGACTGGAAGAGTTAGGACCTGGTACCCAGTCTTACTGGGTGTTCCATTAGAGGTGCATTCCAGCAGGAAGGGGTGCTGGCAACTGTGACTCTATGACCTGCATACACAGGTCTCCACCTTCTTAGAGAACTTCCTCAGAACTCTCTCTTACTGCTAGCTTGGCCTACCCCTTCCTCACCAGTCCTTGGTGCCCCTCCCTGCCTCAGGGTCCTGCAGATAAAAGAAATCGATAGTCTTCCCTTCCCTTTGCACCCCGCCCTCCAAAAAGCCCTGGCTGGGGGCTGTCTTTTAGGTACAAGGCAACCTCTTCTTTTCATCCTTCACAACTTTAGCTCTAAAACTTCTGAAGTAAGAAACTCAAAGGCATGGCCGCCTTCTTGAAGGAAGAGACCAATTAGTGCCTATTTCAATCCCCACTTAATATTCCAAAACATCACTGCACTAGTTAGTATTTACAAGAACTCAGAAGAGCACCTGGCAGATATAAACACTGGGCTGAGTAAATTCTGTTGGTGTGTTCTTATGAGCAGGTGAGCAAGAGCAAACCTAGAGCTGCTGCCTGTATAATCCAGAAGTCTTCCACAAACCTCTTAAATGATCTTCAAAAAGAGAACAAAGCCCAATTTCCCGTGCATGTACTGTGACCTAGAGAATTCCATAGTTTGGTTACAAGACAAATGGTTTTCTCTTTCAGATTTGTCAATACCTTTGCCGGGAACATCACCATCACGATGGGTGAGAAAGTTTATGAGAACATCACCAGTCACAATGCCAGCGAGTATCAGTTTTTCACTTCTGGCAGGTAAGTACCTGCACTGAACACTCTGCTCCAAAGTTCAAGGATTTCAAGTCTTTTTCTTTAAACAATACATTCAGGTTTTTAATACCAAGAATGTTAACCTATAGTATTCTTTCTTTTAACAGACAAAGCTTCAAAATAAACTCAACAGAGATTTCACCAAGCTGTAAAAGTGATTTTGAATCTTCCAGCCTTGGATTTGGCAGTGCGTACACATACGTTATAACAAGGCAGGTTAGTAACTCATTGCACTGTACCAAAGGTTCTACTCAAACTTTACTGATATGCATCCTCATAAACACTTAGGATATTGTAATGATTTAGCCAGAGCACTATTAGGATATGTGTTTTAAATGGGCTTAGAGCTCATTCAGTTCACCGCTAAGTCTTTAACTTATCATTGATTTAAGTTAATCATTAGAATAAAATTAAACAGACTGACTTACTCTGACAGTTCAGACATCTGATGCTTCCTTATAGACCATGAACATGGACTTTAGAAACTTGTAGTTCAAAGAGATGGCCATGCTTTAAGCAAACCTGACTTCTAATCTACTCTCTTAAGAGGAAAATAATAATGAATGTATCTTCAAATCCCACCAAGGCTATTCTATCATAAGTGTAAAACGCAACATTGGATATTTACATGTAAAGTGTGTAGTTACCTAATAAAACTTATGCCTTCACCCTGGAAAGTCAAACTTAACTTGTCTGTTTGAACAATTTTTATTATGAAAGCAATCTTGATTTTCTTTTTCCCTTTTTTGCCTTCTTTATTTAGAGTGATGGTTGCCCTGGAAAGGAGGAGTTTTTAGACATCCCGGCCAACACACTCAGCATGGCCCTGCAGATCCCACAGTACTTCCTCATCACCTGTGGGGAGGTGGTTTTCTCCATCACCGGGCTGGAATTCTCATATTCTCAGGTGTCTTGTTAGTTTGTTTTCACTACCCTACCCCTACACTCCTGCCTTTGAAAAATCTTTGTTGTTAGCTGCCATTAAACAATGCTACTGGTATAAAAGAAAATGAGACTAAATGGGCACACCAGCCTAGGGGCAAGGACGAGAAGGCAGGAGGGGACAGGAAAGCTGGCGATGGGGAACCCAAGGTCGAGAAGGGGAGAGTATTGACATGTCGTGGGGTTGGCAACCAATGTCACAAGTGAATATGTATATTGTTTACTGAGAAAGTAGTTTGCTCTGTAAACCTTCATCTAAAGTACAATTTTAAAAAAATGCTACTGGTAGTTCTTTTAAATCTGGTATAGCCATATGTTTATAATTTTTAAAAATTCTAGACAGAATTATGGTATCTTTCATAGAACATGATCTTTGACATCACTATGTGTATACACTGAGTGTATATAGACATATGTGCATGCATTCACAGAGTCAGGCAATAGAAGTTTAGGGGTCCTAAGAATCAAGAGGAGCGCTAGTGGTACAGTGGTTAAGAGCTCAGCTGCTAACCAAAAGGTCAGCCGTTTGAATTCACCAGCCCCACCTTGGAAACCCTATGGGGCAGTTCTACTTTCTACTCTGTCCTATACGGTCGCTGTGACTCTGAATCAACTCCACGGCATTGGATTCTTCGGGTTCAGTAGAAAAAGCTATCTGAGCGACTGCTACCCACATGATGACGGTCAGTGGAGTGTACATCCTGAAACAACGGGCTGATATCACCTGGTCACAGCAGTGCTCGTGTACTGGTTGGTGGCCTCAGCATCTTTACGTTTCGGTTGAGGTTGCTTTGTAGCGCCCGGTAAACACACTGAATACTGCCTAGCTTTAAAAAAACAAAACAGGTTTAGAAAAATACCATTGCTTTTAAGTATATCAGACTAGTGAGGCAAATTTTGCTGATACCTGAATTAAAGCTCAATTTCTGAACTGTTCTATCAAAACTACAGGTACAGTCACTGTATCCCAAAATGCCTAGGACCTCCAGTATTTCTAGGGACAACTGTAAATATGAGCTGAATAAGCCCTTTCTGCAGTGACCTTACCATCTAATCCAGGAGATGACAGTAATACAGGTGACAAGAATGTAGAGAGGTTTTGGTCAAGCGACAGGGAAGAGCACAGAAAAGCAAGCTGACAGCCTAGAAATCAGCCTCTATTTGAAGGCGGAAAATATTGTGAAGGATAACTCTGCCCAGAAACTCTTCTGAATAAAAAGAACTGGTTCCAATGTAGATTTGTCTATTTAGTGAAGATGACAACTTCGCTGGTGAAAAGTTGAAAAGCAAGGGATTTTGGTATGCTCGTACAACATGAGTGTTTTGGTGTGTTAGCCTTTGTGCATTTAAACCAGCTTGGCTTCTATCAGGCACTTTTAGGGTTGACTGCTTCATTAAATGAATCAGTAAGTTGTGTTCTTCTGCTCTGAGGATAAGACCTAGATTCAAATTCATGTTGCTTTGCCTCTGCAGGCTCCTTCCAACATGAAGTCGGTGCTTCAAGCGGGATGGCTGTTGACAGTGGCGTTTGGCAACATCATTGTGCTAATTGTGGCAGGGGCAGGCCACTTCAGTAAGCAGGTACCGGACAGAGAAGGAGACTACACACACCTCTGTCTTCTTGGCACATGCTCATCATGACCACCCTCCCTGCCCGCCACATGTACACGGTCACCGTGACAACCTCCCTGCCCACCACATGTACATGGTCACCGCGGCCACCCTCCCTGCCCGCCACATGTACGCGGTCACCGCGGCCACCCTCCCTGCCCGCCACATGTACGCGGTCACCGCGGCCACCC